CAAGATGGTGTATCTGTACCTGTTGTTTCTTCACCACGTCTCCGAATGGCTGGTTTCTTCCATCTTAGTTCTGTGCTCAAACAGATCACATAGTCTGGCTCCTTTAATTTCTATATTTTTAATGAATGACAGGTACTCTTTTTAAAGGTATAGTAGTTCCCAATTGGGGTCCAGAATTTCTGTTCTTGGTATTTTCAAGTTGACATGAATCTGAAGATATCATCTAGACAATTACGTATCTGGAAAGGACTCAGAGTCATCTAGTCATATTCCTCCTTTTGTAAGTGGGGAAATTGGTCTCTAGGAAGGGAAGTGGGTATAGTAACAACTTGAACCAGAGCCCAGGTGTCCTCTCTCAGAGGAAGGCTTGTAGTCTCTTCTCACTCCTTTCTCTCAACTTTACCATGTTGCTTGGTGCTAGGTGCTACAACTGTGGAGGTCTAGACCATCATGCCAAGGAATGCAAACTGCCACCCCAGCCCAAGAAGTGCCACTTCTGCCAGAGCATCAACCATATGGTAGCCTCGTGTCCACTGAAGGCCCAGCAAGCTCCCAGCTCCCAGGGAAAGCCAGCCTACTTTCGGGAGGAGGAAGAAGAGATCCATAGCCCTGCCATGCTCCCAGAGGCCCAGAATTGAGCCACAGTGGGTGGGGGCTATCCGTTTGTGATCAGAAAGTTTTGAGGAACAGGCATCAATCGGCAGAGTGGAGAAAGTGGGGACAGGGTGGGTAGGGGGCAGCTGGCACTGCCATATATCTCAGGCCGGGGGCCAAAGCGTCACCTCCTCTTCCCTCTTGGTCGGGGGGGAAGGGGTGAGGCAAAGAAATTCCAATCATGCTCTATCCAAATGCACGTGAGGGCTTTGGGGGGTAACCCTTCCTGCATGCTTTATCTGAGTCTCCACCCCCAGAATCTCCAGCTTTTGAAAGTGGCCTGGATAGGGAAGTTGTTTTACTCTTCAAGAAGGATATGGAATAATATTTCCCGTGCCAGAGTGAAAAGATTAAGCATGAGACCAGATTGATGGACCCAACCCACAAGCCGCTACATTCTGTGGGAGGAAATATCTCAGGGGTAAGGCAGGGCTTTCCACATCTTGTCTGCTCACAACCTCCTCCTGGGAGAGAGTGCTGAGAGAACTGTCCCAAGCAGTGGGCTGTGATGACAGGCAAAAGGGGGGTTGAGGGAACAGCTGCAGACCTGCTGCTTCTAAGCTCACTCCCACCCCATTCTGGGCCAATACAATTTTATTTATTTGCTCCCTTGGATGACTGTACCTTGGGTCCCACTTTCTTCAGGATGCCAACTGCACTAGCTGTGTGCGAATGACGTATCTTGTGCATTTTAACTTTTTTTTTCATAATATAAATATTCTGGTTTTGTATTTTTGTGTATTTTAATCTAAGGCCCTCATTCCTGCACTGTGTTCTCAGGTACGTGAGCAATCTCAGGGATAAGTCGGCGACAGCTCCGGGTCTGCACAGCAGGAATACTTTTTGTTGCTCTATCACCAGAGAGAACAACTATTTGGAGCGTATAGCCTATTGAACTACCTCATTTTTGCCAATTAGAGCTGGCTTTTCTGCCACAGTGTCCTCTTGAAACCCCTCCATCTTCAATGTTTCATGGGAGACTAGGTTTTAACTGGGTTGCCCCATGGCTTGGTCTCCTTCTACTGAAAGATTGGAAATTGGTCTGAACAGGAAAAGGTGGTACAGAGAGGTTAGGAGAGGCTGGGCCAGGTAAAAGGTGCAGAGAGGGGAAGCCAAGATTAGGCAGAGGTCATCTGTATGTGTGATAAAGGATACCTGTTCCAGACCTGTAATCCCAGGGCATAGGACTCGCTTTACATACCAGGTCCATTCTTCAGTGGATTGGGCTAGGCCTAACATACACAACAGGGTGTATTGTATGTGTTTTTGTAAAAACTGTGAGTTGGTAAGGACAGGTTTTAAGAATGATACCTCTGTACCCATCTTGAGCTGCCGAGGGATGGATATATGAAGCAAGAAAAAGATCCTTAATCTTTAACAATTCTGGACTTTTCCTCCTTGGTTTCCAGAGAGACCATCAGCGATGGCTTCTTGGTGGTTCCCAGAGCCAGTGTCCTGCCCTGCTGCCACAGTAATTAGTGTCATGGTAGCTAAAGGAGAAAAGGGGGTTTCGTTTACATGCTGTGAGATCACTGCAAACCTACCTCACTGTGTTGTAACGGGGCAAATGCAATAGAACGCATTGGGTGATGTGTGTCTGATCCTGGGTTCTTGTCTCCCCCAATTGCTGCCCCCCTCTAGTTATTGTATTTGTCTGGACTTCGTAGGACTTCACAAGTAGCTGATTTGGTGATTGCTAGGTGGCCTAGTTTGTGTAAATATAATGTGTTGGTCTTCTCCATGTCCTTTTGGGGTTTTATTGTTTACAAACTTCTTTTTATATTGAGAAAAATAGCCAAAGCATCTTTGACAAAAGGTCTGCACCAGCCAAAAATATCTGAAACATAAACTTGGGGGCCCCTCTTCTTGAAGTGGGAGGTCTTGAACTACACTTTCTTTTGTGTTCCCCTTCCCCTGTTTCCTATTTCGAACAAGATCTTCTGTCCTAAACACTGTATTCCTACCCCCTCTTCTTTCCCCCTTCGTGCCCTCCCCCAAAATAGTCCATACACCTATACGTTTAATTTGTGGGGTGTCTGTGATTAAATGATTTGTGCAAAAATCCTGAAGAAGCTAAGAACTCACCATCCCTTGTTCTCAATCTCCTGAGTCATGACCATTCCTTGATTTGATTCATTCCAAACAGACTGCTGTCTTTGCATGGATTAAAACCTACTTTAATCTCTAATCCTAGGGTAGAGAGGAGCAACGAGGGGACCTTCCATGTAGAAAGTGGGGTTGGGAGACCACGAAAGGAAAGATGAATGTATAGTCAAGTCACTCAGGAACTTTTATGCAGGTGCAAGAAACTTATGTCAAAGTGGCCACAAAATTGTTTAATAGGAGACGGACGAATGTAACTCCATGTTTACTGCTAGAAACCAAAGCTTTGTGTGAAATCTTGAATTTATGGGGAGGGAGGGAGGGTAGAAAAGCATGTACCTGTTCTTCATCCCTTCCCCTCATTACTGAACTGCAGGAGACTGAGCCCCCTTGGGCTTTGGCGACCCCATCTGGGCAGTGTTTATTTGTTGGTTGATTTTGCTGTGCCAGGTACTTCCTTTCCCATTTGCTATCATTTTGTAACACACATGCTGACCCCTTTCCCTTCCCCTTCTTTTCCTTGGGAAAATACAATGAATAAAGACTTATTGGTACCGAAACTGTCATCTCCTTGGTTGATATTTAAAGTGCTTTCTTCCTACCATTATTTCCACTTTCTTGGATTGGGACTCAAGTCACAAGAACCATTAAGTTTTCTGTTCAGCCATTTTGTTAGGAGTGAATCTTGAAAGTTCAGTCTTTTTAGCACCTCATTACAGTGGATTTTTGTTTCTAGTTAAGGCCTCTTGTCCTTTCCTTGGAAGCTGCCACATTCAAGAGGGGATTAAGGGCTTGGCATGCATAAGAATGGGGTTGACTGTGCCACTGACTGGGATGAAAGGATGGGGCCATGGCTTGGGGCATGAGACCCTAATAATACTTTGTCCCTTGCTCCTTAAAGCCCTTTACAAATCTTAATTAATTAACCCCCTGCAGCAACCCAGGGATGGAAATACAGGGGAAACTGTTGAAATTGAGGCCAGAGGAGATACACTGACCAGCTATAAACACACGTTAACAAGTTCACTAGCCTTCTGATGAACACTATTTTTAAACATCTAGCTCCCCCTAAGGGAAGGAGGGTTTAGAAAAGAAAGACTTGATTGGAGGCATACCAACTATCACCCAAGGTGCACGGAAACGTTAACAGAACAAGGGTAAGAAGTTTCATATATCCCTCTAGGGACTTCCTACCAATAGTCAAAGCTGACCTTGGAAGATAAAAGTAGCAAGCTACTACTGGACTTCACTAAATGGTTTTCCTGCAAAACTGAAGTAATCAGCTAGGCAGAAACTTACTAACCTACATGCAAAGCAGGAAGGATGGAAAAGCTTAAGAGACCATTCATGGGTGGGTTACTCATCTCTGGAGGCCATTCTTTGATCATTTCACTCTGTTAAAAATAACCCTTTCATCAGAAAGAGTGGAAGACAAAAGTAATGAATCGGGAGTCATGACTACAGTATCTCTTGCCTTGTTTCCTTGACACTGCAACCCAAAGTAAGAAACTACAAGAAGGTTCTCTGAAAATGGTAAAGTGTTTTTTTTTCCCCTTCTCTCATTTTAAGAAAACTAAACTCCCAATATCTTTTGTGAGTTAGTGCCTCAAATTCCTGCAACCCTTTTCTTTAAAGGTTTGGTACAGAATGAATGCCCTTGATTTTTCTGTCAGGGTTAGTTGATGGCCTTTCTTAAACTTTAGAAGTCATTCTTAGAGTTCTTTCTGGCCTTAACCCTTTTTTGAGTTCTTTGGGTAGTCGATTAAATTCACTAAATAAGACAAAACGGTATAAAAACAGGATATTTAAGACTTCTACCAAAAAAAAACCAAACAAAAAACACTTGTACCAGAGCTTTAAAGCCAGTGTAGCGGCCTTCCAGCTAGCAGGACGCCGCCTTACCCCTTTTCTCAAAAGTCCAAACTGCCACCAGTGGCTAAGAAGTCCCAGCATTTCTGAGGTGGGGCTCCCCTAATTCTTGCCCCGTAACCTAGCCCGCCTGTCTACAGACTTCTCGGCTCTCCCAGGTGGTCTGAACCCCGCCTTCCCCAGCCTGGTCCCTCGCACGTGGCCCGGAGCCGGGTAGCCCGCGCGGTTATCCCCTTCACCCCAACCTGCCCCGCCCCAGGAATGCGAACAGCCGAGAACTCCAGCTCAGCTCCGCTCCTCCTCCGAGCGCGCAGGCGCAGGCCAGGGCCCCGCCCATTAGGTGACGGCAGAAGCGTGTCCCAGCGCCCAACGATGACGTGTTCTTCCAGCGCCACGTCGTGAGGAAGTGTCGGTCCCCTCGAGCTGTTGAAAGGTGCCGGCAGAGCCTGTCAAGGTGCTGGATTCAGGGGGTGGATTAGAGGAGAAGAGGAGAGAGATGACTGAGCGGGAGGCAGCTGTGGGAGAGACAAAGGGGACAGTGGAAGATACAAGTGAAGGAGTAAATAATTGGGAAATCTCTGGGGTAGGAGGTAACGGGTGCAACAACTGAAGGGGATAGTGACCCGGAGCCCGGAGAGTGGGAAACAGCCTGGTGGAAGATGGAGAAGGAAGAAGGGGGAAGGATCAGGATGTAGGCACTACGATGTGACAGGAAGCAGACTTACATGTTCAGAAAAAGGCAGTGCAGACTCTGAGAAAAAAGGGGATGGGAGGGAGCAAGGTCCACCAAGCCCATAGACCCAAGGAAAGGCCTCTGCGCCCAAAGGTCCTATTGGCTTATAAATTCTGGGTAGTGAAAGACTAGAGGCTTAGGACAGTGTCTTTTTCTTTTTCTTTTTTCTTTTTTTGGCTCTGCCGGGTCTTAGTTGTGGCACACGGGATCTTAAGTTGTAGCATGCGAACTCTTAGTTGTGGCATGTGGGATCTAGTTCCCTAACCAGAGATCAAACCCGGGACCCATGCATTGGGAGCGCAGAGTCTTAGCCACTGGACCACCAGGGAAGTCCAGGGTCAGTGTTTTTGGATTCTAATGCTGGCTGATCTCTACCGTTTTGGTGAATCCCTGCAAGTCAGCCATAGTTGTTTGCAGGTGTGGTGACTTCTAATTCTCTGTCTTGTTTATACAAGGTTACCTGGTTGGTGACTAATTGTTCTGTGCTTCTGCTGAGGCAAGAACTATGTCATGGATCAAGGAAGGAGAGCTGTCGTTTTGGGAGCGGTTCTGTGCCAACATCATAAAGGTGAGCAGTGGCCCAATGCACCAGTTGGCCTTTTGGTTCGTTGGGTAATCTTATATTAAAACCTGTTATAAAAACTGGGTAACCCATGATATTTATGGATTTGTAGTAGAATTTAGCAATGGTATCAAAGAGCCTTAGAACTGCAGGTAACTTCCAGGTCTACATTTCTGGCAGATTATTGTCCTAACTCTCACATTTTCAGGAAGCCTGAGACCTCCCAATATCATTGGGCAGCATACACTGTTAGATCTTCCTGAAATTTGTTTCCCTAGAACTTTGCTCTATTATTCCTAGTACTGTCCTCTGGGCTTTTTTTGTTTTGTTTTTTTAATTTATTTTTGGCTGCGTTGGGTCTTCATTGTTGTGTGCGGGCTTTCTCTAGTTGCGGTGAGTGGGGGCTACTCTTCGTTGCAGTGCATGGGCTTCTCACTGTGCTGGCTTCTCTTTGTTGTGGAACACGGGCTCTAGGCGTGCTGGCTTCAGTAGCTGTGGCACGCGGGCTCAGTAGTTGTGGCTTGCGGGCTCTAGAGCTCAGGCTCAGTAGTTGTGGCCCACGGGCTTAGTTGCTCCGCGGCATGTGGGATCTTCCCAGACCAGGGATTGAACCCGTGTCCCTTGCATTGGCAGGCAGATTCTTAACCACTGCGCCACCAGGGAAGTCCCTGACCTCTGGGTTTAGATAAAATAACTAATCGTTCTTTGATGTGATAGTAGAGCATAATGGTTAAGAGGGTTCTGGAGGCAAACATGAATGAAAGTTCTCTTCTATCGTTTATTAACCATGTGACTTTATATGGTGATTTTGAGGATTAAATGAAACTACATAGAAAACACTCAGCACTGTGTCTAGCAGTTTTTAATTACTATTATTGGGGCTGTCTTTCAATCATTTCAAGACTACAATCACTCTGTTTCCTACACTCCACTCCCTAGATCTTCCCTCAGCTTTTTCTCTAGGAATCACAGTTACATCCTCCTCACATGAAAGGTTTGTTATTGGAGCCAGTCAGCTTGGTTTTATTTTTCAGCCACAGGCTGTCAAGCAGCAAGTAGCAGTGAATTTATGAGTAAGTAAGCCTTGTACCCACACATACACTCACACACAAATGCCAGGTGATCTCAGGCAGTCCAGGAAATAGAAAAGCATCTCCTCAAGGAAACACTGTGGTCACATGTTGGGAAGAACAAGCTGCATGACTTTACTGGAATTTTTTTTTTATGGCTATATATGGGGGACAAAAGTAGAATATGTTGGGAGATGCAGGGGAAGTGGTCTATGAAGAGCCCCTCCAGTGAGGAAAAATCGCCCAAGGAGTGAATTTTTGCTATGATAGACAACAAAAGTCTGCTCTAGGCCAGGTAAGAAGTTTTGTTTGCCCCCAAAATATCTTTTTTGTTTGTTTTCAAATAGCTCCTGACATTTAAATTTTTATAAAAATCTTGATTAGTTTCTCTTGTAAAATAAGAAGATCCAACAATATGGGGCCCCCATTCCTGTGTGACAGGACTCGGATACAACTGAGAAGTGTATGCCTCTTTTATGTGGAGGATGCCCTTTACATTTGGCCATACCCATCAATATCCTTGCTGTACCTTCCACTTGAAGGCTAACGAAACCGAGGTGGTGGTTAAAGGCATATGGTTAGGAGATGAACTCTGAAAGCACATAGACCTAAATTTGAATCCCCACTTTGTCTCTTCTTGGCTGTGTGACTTATGCAAGTCACTTGACCTCCCTGAGCCTCAGTTTTTTCACCTATAAAATGAAGATAACACTATTTACTTCATATGTTTGTATGACAAAAAATTAAGATGAAATGTGAAAAGCTCAGCATAGTACTTGGCATGTGGTAAGGGCTCAATAAACATATAAATAAAAATGAATAAAAGTGCTTAATGCTTATGTATTGAGCTAAAAGTACAGAATACCCAGTTCCCTTCCTCAGGGCTTTTATCATATAGCTCAAGCCTGTCAGCTTGGAATATTGTCTCCCTTTATCTCTGAGGAGTATGTGATGTGTTCATTTGTCTTCTTACTTCACAGGCAGGCCCAATGCCCAAACACATTGCGTTTATAATGGATGGGAACCGTCGCTATGCCAAGAAGTGCCAAGTGGAGAGGCAAGAGGGTCACTCACAGGGCTTCAACAAACTGGCTGAGGTGGGTACACGTTGCAGAACCCAAGGTGAATGGTCTGTGGAGAATTGGATTATAGCTAGAAAACCAGGCCCTGAGTTTGCTGTGGTTTGAGAGTGCTTTTTTATAGCTGTTTGTCTGTTTTATTGCTTGCTTGCTAGCCATAGATCTCATATCAACATTAACAGAAAATTAAGTCATCCAGTGAATCATCGCAAAATATTAGAAATAAGAACAAAATTGTCTCCTCTTACCACCTTAATCAACAATTTATGTTTTTCTGTGCCTCATCCCAATCCTTGTAATATGTTCAACATGACTTAACATTTATAAAATTACATCTATAGCTTTGATAACCTTATTCTTTTCTTGACATTTTGGCAAGTATTTTTCTAGGTTGATCTATGGCTTTCTACCTATATGTTTTAATGGCTGTGGAACATTTTTCCTGAGGATCTGACATAGTTTGTTTAGCTGCTCCACTATTATTGGACATTATAAATGGTACTAGTTTAGAATAAATTCTTAGAAGTGACATTTCCAGAGCAAAGGTAGAGGGTGACTACCCATCCTGAGGTTGAGGTGTTTCTCAGGACACAGGCCTTTAAGTGCTTAAACTAGGAAGAGTGCCAGACAAACCAGGACATCACTCCAACCAAACGTCATCAACATTTTATGGTTTTAATGCCCACTGCAAATTGGGAAACAGTAAATTTATCAATAAGAATGGAATATGTCGATCTTTGTGAAACTCTGTAGCCCACGGATCCCAGCTTCTTGGCACAAGAACACGTCCTGAAGCCAGGGCAGTGATATTTTTTGCCTTGAATGAGTGGTTGTGGGGTTCTCTCCAACACTGAGGTCTTGAGGTTTGTTGACCTCAGTTTCTTTTTTGTGACTAAGAGGCAGGTTTTGCCTAGTGCTTAGGAGCTTAAGCTCTGTAGTCACTCAGAACTCATTGGCACCCCTGCTCTGCCACTTCCTGGCTCTGTGTACCTGCTACAAGTTACATAGCTTCCCTTTGCCTCAGTTCCTTCATCTGTAAAATGGGGAGATTACATGAGGATTAAACAAGATGGCACAATGAAAAGCATGTGGCACAAGACCTGGCATAAAGGATGTGCTCAAAAAATTGAAGCTGTTGTTATTAGCCTATATTAACTGAGGTCAGTGGTGGGCTCCGACCCAGGTGTACCCACCAAGTTTGCTGTCTGGTAAGATCTTCAGGTCCCAAGCCTATTCAAGTGTCAGGTTTGTGCTGGTAATTTTCCTGAGGTGGCAGTGAATGGGTTTGTATGTCTGATAAGGGATTAGAAAGGTAGCTCTTCAGCTTTATTTCTTCAGTTCTGTTTGAATGTCTTCTGTCCCTTACCTTTAACCTCCAGGCTCCCCATCTCAACACTGTTATTCTCATCTCCAGTTTGTTCTCCACCTTTAGTGGCACTGGGTTAGAGCAGTACCGTACCAAAGGACTGAGTTTAAATTTGAGTTTCACTTCTTTTTTCGCTGAGGTATAATTTCATACAGGGAAATGCACAGATTTGGGGTTTTGACAGTTGCATTCATCTGTCTAATCCACACCCCTGTCAAGATATAGAACATTTCCATCTCTCTAGCAAGTTCCTTTGTGCCCCTTCCCAGTCAAACCCTGTCCTCCCTCCTCTTCTCCTCCCCTTCCCCCTCACATTCTGATTTCTATCACTCTAGATGAGTTTTTGCTGTTCTAGAACCTCATATAATGGATTCATATGGTAGAGCTGTGGACTTTTGACTCGTCTTCAACTTTCTGAGCCTCAATTTTATCATCTCTAAAGTAGGCATGAAAACAATAATTCCTTTCTCAAGGGGTAGCTTGAAGAATCAAATGAAATAATGTATGTGAAAACCCTTTGCAGACTTAAATGATACACAGCTGTGCAGTTGTTGCTTTTATTCTTATAACTCATCAGCCTCTCAGTCTATTGGAATAATGATGTTATGCTGTGAGTAATAATACCTTGTGTTTTTATGTATCTTTAGCCACCTTGTGAGGGATGGATTGTGATCCTATTTTACAGATTAGGAGACTTAGGCCCTGAGAGGTTAAATGATATGCCTGCAGTCACATAGCAAGTGCTTGATGGAGTGAGAGACTAGAACCTGGATCTTTATTCTCTCAGTTAAGAGCTCTTTCCAGTAAACCACAATAGCATCAGCATAATAGTACTCATTAAGTTCACATTTTTCAGTCTCTCAGGTGGTGGCTTTCTGCTTATTTGGTTCATTATTCTGAGAGAAGCATTGGTATTATCCTAGCTTTACCCAGTTTGGGGAGGAGAAAAGTCTGTCTCTCACTGAGTCGGGGCTGAGGCATCTCCTGTTTCCCTTCCTGCTCTTTCCTTGTACCCTAGCTCCTTGCCTTCTCCCCTCTCAGACTCTGCGTTGGTGTTTGAACCTGGGCGTCCTAGAGGTGACGGTCTACGCATTCAGCATTGAGAACTTCAAACGCTCCAAGAGTGAGGTAGATGGGCTAATGGATCTGGCCCGGCAGAAGTTCAGCCGCTTGATGGAAGAAAAGTAAGATGCTGTCAGAGGGGGAGCCTGTGTACTTATACCACCTCCAGCCTTACCTAACCCTCAACTGTCTTTTCTGAGGCTAGTTAAGGAACTCTAAACCCTTCTACTGTTAGTTAGACCTCTTCAGTGGCAAATATGGCAAGCTAGTTTTCCTTTCTTTCTTTCTTTCTTTCTTTCTTTCTTTCTTTCTTTCTTTCTTTTTCCTTCCTTCCTTCCTTCCTTCCTTCCTTCCTTCCTTCCTTCCTTCCTTCCTTCCTTCCTTTCCTTCCTTCCTTCCTTCATTCCTTTCTTCTTTCTTTCTTGGACATTTATTTGAGGATATAGAGGTATTTCACAGAATTCAAGGATACGGATAGCCAACCTCAGGCAAAACCGAAGCCAGGAATTGAAATCAATTGGGTAGAGCCTCCTCGGACATTTATTTCCTTTGCTCCACAGGCTAACTTTGTCTTCTTCAAGAGAGCTGCTCAGAATGAATTAAAACCCTTAATTGGTCCACCTTAGTTCAAATTTCTACCCCAGGACCAGTGAACTGTGACCAGGGAAGTAGAGTGAGAGAGACTTTGAAAAAGCCATTTTCTGCTGTGCAGTCATCCCTAAAAAGTTACTGTACTTTCCTGCATATACCCTTGGACGGGACAGGATGATGCATAAAAGCCCTTTATGGGGATGAGTCAGTACTGTTCTTGCTATCACTAAGTTTAAGCTTAACTTAGGGAGCAAAGCCAGAATGGGGCAAAATGGAAGTTTGGTGGAGATTATTTGTTTCACAGTGTGGAACCCTCTTCAGCCAGGACTGCCCCAAAGTGTTCATTACAACCATTCTCTGCCCAGCTCCTCCCCACACCAGGACCAGGAAGATGAGAGAACAGAGAGCTTAGAGCTCTAGTGGAGCTGGGCCTGGGACAGGTCTGTCATTTCCATCCCTGTGTGGGTCAGGGTGCGGGGAGCATAGCCAGCCTTCTCTCTATCCATATTAGTCTCTGGGCCACAGACATTACTCCTTCCCTTGTGGCTCAGAATTCACACCCAAGGGGCTGGGGACAGAGGTAACGGGGACACATTCCAGGTGTTCAAATTCTTCTGTACTTCACACTAATCTTACCTTTTTTAAGTGTTTATACTATGTGTCAGGCCCTGAGCCTAACATGTACTCTCATTTAAAATTCACATTATCCTGTGAGAAAGATATTATTATCCCATTTGTAGAGAGGAAGAAAGTAAAAACCAGAGAAGTTTAGGGGTGTATCCTGGGTCACACAGCTATCAGACAGGCAGAGCCAAAACACACAGGGTCTTTCTGACTCTAGAGCTGAGCTGTTGTCTGCTGTAGAGACAAGAAGCAGTCTTAACACTTCTTGAAAGATCAAAATGCATGGCAGTAGAGGTGCTCCTGAGATTGTTCTAATCAGTTACGAGTAGAGAAGATGGTCTTAGGTTATTAAGTCCTAGACAGAGCAAGAAGAAACCTTAGTGGTGGTTTTCCAGCAATGTGCCACAGAACCCCGTAGTTGTGAGGAGTGGGCATGCAAGGACCCAGAGGGAATGGGGTATACAGTGCTTGTTTGCATTTATCTATTTTATATGTTGGGCTTCTGTTTAAGATTTGATTTGAAGAAAGACTTGTTTGGCTAAAAGAAGTTTGGAAAACCACTGGCCTAGTTCAGTTTCATCAGTTGGGAAACTAATCCTGGTGAAGAGAAGAGAAAGGTTTGCCCATGGTCACGCAGCTAGCTAGTGGCAGAGCCAGGCTGGGAGCCCAGATCTCCTGGCTCCTTGCCAGGGCTTTTACACCTCCTTACTCAGGTCATGTGCCTGATGTCTGAGAATAAGCACTTTCACAGTATGACAGGGGTGGTTATGCAAGGTCAGATAGTAATCGGTGGCACTAGGCACTAGGGCTTGAATCTAGGTATTCTTTTTTTTTTTGGCTACACCACACAGCATGCAAGGTCTTAGTTCCCCGACCAGGGATGAAACCCGTGTCCCCTGCAGTAGAACCACGGAGGAACCGTGGAATTCCTGAATCTAGGTGTTCTTATTCAAAGCAACATTTGAACAAAGTAATTTGTTCAAGATCAGACAGCTGGTGAGTAGAAAGCCAGAAATCGAACTTAGGGAGTTTGGTTCCAGAGCCTGTCTTTTTAATCACAACATTACACTGCCTCCATATATATATGTCTGATCTTGAACAAATTACTTAACCTCCCTGTGCCTCAGTTTCTTCGTCTGTAAAAGGGGAATGATAATGGTGTCTGCCTCAAAGGTTGACGTAAGGATGGAATGCATGTAAAACACTTAGACCAATGTCTGGCACTTAGTAAACATATAATTAATGTTAGATGTTACAAAAGTAACCAATAATACAACTCCTGCTGTTGAGGAGTTTATTCACCCATCAAAATGGGACAAACAGCACAGAACATGTGAGATGCAACTTGTCGACAAGGACACACAAGGCGGTGTAATGTGTGGTAAAGAGGTTTGGGTTCTCAAATCAGGCAAACCTGGGATTCGGTCCCAGCACAACACCTGATGGCTGTATGACCTTGGGCAATCCCTATCTAACTATTCTATCTGAGCCTCAGCTTCCCGCTGTAGAACAGGAAATGTAGTAAACTCCCTTCAGAGTTGTTGAGGGCATTCAGTGAAATAATACTTGTAGATCAGTGCCTGACACACAGGAAGGCACTCAAAAACTGGTAATTGAGTATCAGCTAAGCACTTTGCTTTCTCCAGCTCAGCAGGTGCTCTGTCCCACCTCCCAAACCTGCCTCCTTTCCCCCCTGATCAGGGAGAAACTGCAGAAGCATGGGGTATGTATCCGGGTCCTGGGTGATCTGCATTTGTTGCCCTTGGATCTCCAGGAGCTGATTGCACAGGCTGTGCAGGCCACCAAGAACTACAACAAGTAAGTTTTCAGATTTCCCCTTAGGGACCTGTATTAATCTATGACTCCCTGCTAACTTTAGGGAGACGTCCTGGCCCTTCCTTGGTCTGCATTTGGTACAAGAGGTAATGAGGAGTTGGTTTTGGATGCTTGAGACTTCTTCCTCCATCTGCAGGGCAGACCAGAGGTGGCTCTGCAGCACCTTGTTTTATGTGTGTATACTCACACATACAGTTTCTTATCTTCCTCCTTCATGTGCCTTGCCCCCATGTACATATGTATTTTTATATATATATGTGTGTGTGTGTGTGTGTGTGTGTGTTTAATTGACAGGGAATGGGGTGGGAATGCAGCAGGCCTTATCCCTGTCTCTGAAGACAGATCCTTCAAGAAATTCTCTTTCTGTCCCACTGCTTTAACCGATAGAGGGGATGACCTTGGAAGGGCAGGTAGATGCAGAGGGGAACAGTTTAATAACCCAGACGTCATTATGTGTGGCTTTGGAATATAATGCATATTTGGCAGTGGATTCGTTTCACATCAGACTTCCTTCCTATTCTTTGCTTGTTCTAATATCACAGTGAATTCACATCCTCTGAAAGCTGGGGGTTAACAGAAGGGAATAAGATTAGGAGAATAATAAGGGTCAGTTAGTATTTTTCTTACTACAAAACTAATGTGTTTTTTTCCCAAGAAAACTTGGAAAACTCAAAAAATTAATAATCTCGCTTTTCAGAGGTGTCCATGGTTAACATTTGGTGTGTGTTTGTTCTACCACAGAAGGGGTGCTCTGTAATAAGTGACTCCACTCCTTAGTCCCTGTCCCCCTTTGGTAAATTATTCTGTTCTTCCCTTCTCAGGTGTTTCCTGAACGTCTGTTTTGCTTACACATCCCGTCATGAGATCAGCAATGCTGTGAGAGAGATGGCCTGGGGAGTGGAGCAAGGCCTGCTGGATCCCAGGTATTGCAGTTGTTCAGCATGATAGGGAAAACAGGCATACACTGAACCATAAAATCCCTCCTAAGTCATGTACTTGAGCCAGAAGTCAAATCGGGAATGTATGTGGAAAGATTTGAGAGGGGTGGTCCCTGCACTTAGAGCTTTGGTATGACTTATTATAGTCTGCTTCAGAATTTCTGTGTTCAACACAAACCAAGAAGCTCCAGAAAAAATGGCATGGCTTGTAGCAACACCGTGGCATTCAATAAAACATGATGCCCTGCTGGCCCTTTGGCAGAGTTTTTCTAAGAATGATTTTTCAGGAATGCAGCTTGTTGGGGGTATTGGCCTTTAGGCCTCTCATGTTACAGTTTCATGCAAGATCCAGGTATTTTTCAAAAAGAAAGTTGTTCATCATTAGCAACACGGTAGAATTATTAGAGCTGGGAGAGACTTTAGAAGCCATCTATCTGCTCAGTCCCTCTCCTGTTATTATTAGTGTAACCCTTGGTAATAATATTAGTAAACTAACAACAGCAGTAGTAAAATAATAGTAGCAAAAAACAAGCCAGGCAATGTGTTATGCTGTGTTTATTTGATTAAGTTAATATTCTCATGTTTAAGAGATTTGAGTCTTTCCTCCATTTTATAGATGAGAAAACTGAGCTCACATTGAAATGACTGTCCCAAGGTCATTCTGCTAGTAAGTGCCAGAGCTGGGACTTCTATCAAAAACTGTCTGATTCCAGAGCTTTTGTCCTTACCTTTATTATATATGGGATTGTGGGACCCAGGAGGTTTTCTGACTCCCTTCTTGGGTATAATTCGATTTTCCTGGGAAACTAAATTAAAAATGAAGAAGTTTCTCAGTGAGAATGAAATTAACATTATCAATATTATACAAATTAGCATAAATTTATAATGATGATAAGCATGATAAAGGCCTTGATGCATGGTTCAACAAGAATTTATAATAAGAGGAATGGACCTGGTAGGGAAGGCTCCCCAAAGGAAATGATAAATGACATAAGAAGGGGGTGAGAGGATAAGCAGTAACTGGGGAGAGAAGCAGTATTATGAGGAGCTTTTTGGTTGCACAAATACTGTTGGAATAATTCAAGTAGAGAGTACTTGGAAGGGAGCTTGGATTATGGTGGTGATGGTGGAATAGACCAAACAGACTGCATTAAGAGCTATGAAGCAGATCAAATAGAGAGGACTTGCGGGGTGGTGGTGGGATGAATTGGGAGATTGGGATTGACATATATACACTAATATGTATAAAATAGATAACTAAGAAGAACCTGCTGTATTAAAAAAATAAAATTCAAAAAAGAAAAAATATTAGTGAGAGAGAAAAAAAATCGAGAGGACTTGATGGATTGACTCTGGGATAAGGATGTGTTATGGGTGACTCCAGGGTTTTTGACTTATAAAAGAGTGGACAGTGGTGCCCTTCGCTGTGCTGAGAACCCTGAGAGGCTGCAGTTTGAGGAAGAAAGTCAGGAGTTTGGTTTGGGATATATTATAGATGTTGAACACAGATATCAGGTTGACAGTAGAGAGAAGTGGGGACTGGAGATAGCAGTCTGGTAACTGAAGCAAAGAGAGAGCATGAGGAATCTAAGGAGAGTCTAGAGTGAGAAGAGAGGGCCTAGGATGGAGTTTTGAGAAACTCATAAGTTTTACTGGCTGGGTAGAGGAAAATGAGCCTTAAGGAAAAAAGAATCAACAACCAGAAAGGTAGAAACAAAAGGGCTGCCAGTATTACAGAAGCCAAGAAAAGAGGGTGTTTGTTAGCGCAGGTGGGGTGGCGGGTGTGCATTGGTGGGAGCAACAGTGTTAAATGCTGTAGAGAGGTCAATTAATATGTGGATTGAAAATTAGCCATTGGGGGAGAAACATTAAGATACTGGTTAAGTTGGCAGTATGGGGTCTGGGCAGGAAGATGAGATATAAGTAGATGAGGGATATATAAGTAGATGAAAGTTATTGATAATTTTCTGATTCTTGGCTTGGGGAATGATTTCATAGTTCATTTTATTCTTAGTGCTTTACGATTAATGTTTTATATAATTTTTTGTATAAATTAAATAACATATTTAAAAAAATAAGGGACAAATGTTTATGCTAAAAAGAAAAAAAGCTATTTAGCAAGCAGATTTAATATGCATTCATGCCTGGAACTAGAACTCTGATCTTGCCTCCTAGTGCAGTGTGATTTATACTGATACCACATTGCAGTAGCCACTGACCCCCTGCTTCTTGCCCAGCTAGTTTTCTCATATCCGTTTTCTCTGCCCTGCATGGTTTAGTAACTTGCCTGTGTGGGTTAGTCATGCAGACATGGCGTGGGCTGGGCGGGTTACTAGGGTAAGGAGGCTGATGTCTCAACCCGTCAGCTCAGGAAGCTTGGTGTTCAACTCAGACGGGACTGATCAGGGCCTGAGGCAGTGGTTTTTACATTATTCAGCTTTAGACAAATCCATATTTATAACAGAGTCGATGAGTTAATTACAGTCAGGCTCTACCCTTCCCATAACTGGAATTTTTCTATTCTCTCATCACCACCATCCAACTCCTCATTTTCCTTTCTTCCAGGGTAATATATTTTTTTCTACCAGTCATTTTAATAGATTGTTTTTTGAATCTCAAATTATAAAAGAAGGAATTAGGTTTAGCATAAATGATAGTTAATAAACTCTCTTGAGCAGGTCTTGACCATCTGTAGGCCTCTGTCTTCCTCTTAAAACAATAGTGTTAATAATAATTGCCGGGCTTCCCTGGTGGTGCAGTGGTTGAGAGTCCGCCTGCTGATGCAGGGGATGTGGGTTCGTGCCCCGGTCTGGGAGGATCCACATGCCGCGGAGCAGCTGGGCCCGTGAGCCATGGCCGCTGAGCCTGCGCGTCCGGAGCCTGTGCTCCGCAACGGGAGAGGCCACAGCAGTGAGAGGCCCGAGTACCGCAAAATAAATAAATAAATAAATAATAATTGCTAATGTTTACTAAGCATTTACTCTGTGCCCAGCACTTGCTAAGTATTCCACGTATGTTATTTCATTTAATCCTTAGACCCTTTGAAGTAGATACTGTTTTTATAAATTGAACCTTGCTGTGAGGTTAAATAACTTGTCCAAGTTCACACAGTTGACCAGGATTTCCAACCTGGCTCCAGAGCCTGTGTTCTCTTTCACTATGGCATACTGACTGCCTTATAGGAAGGTTGAAACAAACAAAAACACAGTATAAAAATAAAAATTAATAACTAATAGTTATCAGGGACTTCCGTGACTGTCCAGTGGGTAAGATTTCGCCTTCCAATGCACAGGATGTGGGTTTGATCCCTAGTCACGAGCTAAGATCCCACATGCCCCGTGGCCAAAAAACCAAAACATAAAACAGAAGCAATATTATAACAAATTCAATAAAGACTTTAAAAAAAAAATGGTCCACATCAAAAAAATATACTAAAGGGACTTCCCTGGTGGCGCAGTGGTTGAGAGTCTGCCTGCTGATGCAGGGGACACGGGTTCGTGCCCCGGTCCGGGAAGATCCCACATGCCGTGGAGCGGCTAGGCCCGTGAGCCATGGCTGCTGAGCCTGCACGTCCAGAGCCTGTGCTCCGCAACGGGAGAGGCCACAACAGTGAGAGGCCCGTGTACCGCAAAAAAAAAAAAAAATATATATATATATATGTGTGTGTGTGTGTGTGTGTGTGTGTGTATATATATATATATATACACTAAAAATAAATAAACAATAGTCATCAGATCTTATTATGAGGCAGGCATGAGACTAGTAGGAGTTTATCATGCATATTCTCATCTAATTTTCGTATAAGGTAGTGACTATTATTTGTCTTATTTTATAAGACCAGTTAACGAAGGTTTAAAAAGTTTCATTGACGGGCTTCCCTGGTGCTCCAGTGGTTAAGACTCCACACTTCCACTGCAGGGGCTGCGGGTTCGATCTCTGGTTGGGGAATTGAAATCTGCATGTCATTCTGATGCTGCGCGGCACGGCCAAAAAAAAAATGCAGACACATTTGAAATTCAGAGGAGTTATGTGGGGATCCAAAGTCCCACAGCAAGGTAGTGGGTCTGGAAATAACCTTTATTCCTCTTATTTATGTAGTGCTTTATAGTTCCCAAGGTACACTCAAATCTGTTATTTCATCTGATTTGACTCTCACAATAACCTATAAGTAGATAGGACAAATGTGCCATTTCAAAAATAAGAGAGCTGAGAAATTGTTGATTGCACAGGGTTTCACTTTTTTTTTTTTTTTTTCGGGCTGCTCCATGTGGCCTATAGGATCTCAATTCCCCGACCAGGGATTGAACCCAGGCCATGGCAGTGAAAGTGCCAAATCCTAACCACTAGACCACCAGGGAACTCCCAGGTTTCACATTCTTAATTAAAGAATTAAGATCATGCTGTCAAGACAAGACTCAGGGAAATTATCGGGGAAATCTGAACCAGAGCCCTTCCTATTGCCCAGTCATAAGTGAATATTATTTACCATATGACGGTACAGAAAATAAAGCTCCCTCTGTGGTTTGCAAAATGATGACTGAGAGATGGAGTAACTTACCCAAAGGCACACAGCTAGTAAGTGTAGATCCTTGTTCTGAACACTCAGCCCAGATCTCTGCTTTTTTTTGACTATGCTCCCAGAAAAATGTTCCCACACAGAAATTTTGTCTTCTAGACCCTTCCTAAGATGCAGCTGTTACCACCTGGAGATTCTGAATCCTGCCTCTGGGTACTTGGCAGGATAGGTAAACAGTATTCTTGGAACCACCACACACCAGTCTTGCAAATACCCTCTTTCCATGGACTGGAGAGTTTAACTTAAGATGAGTGCTGCCAGTCCCCATTCTTCCTTCATTCCGTCTCCTTTCTGAGTGTCTGTCTGCTTGGGAAAGTAGCTCTTATCAAACACAAGAGGGCTCATCATTTTGCTGTTTTCTCAAATCCTAAGTAAAGTGGATGTTTTGCAGTGTTTCACGGTCCATATGACTTAAATTTAAGTTTTTTTGTTTTTTTGTTTGTTTTGCGGTACGCGGGCCTCTCACTGTTGTGGCCTCTCCTGTTGCGGAGCACAGGCTCCGGACGCGCAGGCTCAGTGGCCATGGCCCACGGGCCCAGCCACTCCGCAGCATGTGGGATCTTCCTGGACTGGGGCGCGAACCGGTGTCCCCTGCATCGGCAGGCAGACTCCCAACCACTGCACCACCAAGGAAGCCCAAATTTAAGGTTTTAAAAATGTTCTCTATCATAAATTCAAACAATAACAGAAGTATATAAAGTAAAAAGAGATAGTATTTCCTTCTTATCCAACCTTCCAGAGGTAATCACCATTAATAGAATGGTGTATGCCTTTCTAGATTTTGTTCTTTGTTTATATATACATGTATTCACATGTGTGAGTAAGTGTGTGTGTGTATTTTCCACACTGTATTTTTTCTGAAATGTGCTTTTTTTCATTTAATATTACATCTTAGACATCTTTCCAAGTCCATGCATTTAGATTTACCTCCATTAAAAACAGTTGCATAGGGGGCTTCCCTGGTGGCGCAGTGGTTAGGAATCCGCCTGCCAACACAGGGGACAAGGGTTCGAGCCCTGGGCCAGGAAGATCCTACATGCCGTGGAGCAACTAAGCCTGTGTGCCACAACTACTGAGCCTGCATTCTAGAGCCCGCGAGCCACAACTACTGAGCCCATGTGCCACAGCTACTGAAGCCCGCGCGCCTACAGCCTGTGCTCCGCAACAAGAGAAGCCACCGCAATGAGAGGCCTGTGCAGCGCAACTAGAGAAAAGCCCATGTGCAGCAACGAAGACCCAATGCAGCCAAAAATAAATTATTAAAAAAAAAAAAAAACAGTTGCATAGTATTTCATCAAATTGCAGAGTCATAGGGTGTATCCATTTTAAAAACAAGTGTTTTAAGTGAAGGACAACACATATTCTGGTGGGTGCATCTGGTTTTAGGCTGCAACTAAATGGCTTTGGGCAAACATTTCATCTTCTCTGAGCCTCAGTTTCCTTATCTATAAAGTGAGGATAGAAGTACCTAATGTAGTTGTGAGGATTGAAACCATTCATTAATTTATCAAGCATTTGCTGAGGGCCTTCTACATACTAGGTAGTATTGGCTAATGTATTTGATGTTATTCTGTAAACTGGGAAGCTTTATATAAGGAAGTTCACCATGAGAATAATCCAAAAAGAGATGTGGACTTATCTTTGTCTCTTCCCCACTCACCTTAGCGATGTCTCTGAGTCTCTGCTGGATAAGTGCCTTTATACCAACCACTCTCCTCATCCTGACATCTTGATACGGACTTCTGGGGAAGTGAGGCTCAGTGACTTCCTCCTCTGGCAGGTAGGTCGTTTCCAACCATTGTTCTGTTTGTGTCGAAACTGAAAACTGTGACTGCACCCACAAAACAGATTGGAGGGTCAGCTAAAATCCAGAGAAATGTCTCCAGGCTGTGCCTGGTAACTTTTGCTATCCCTTCCTCATCTGTCCCTGGCTTTGTGAGCCTGTGTAGTTCTTGCTGTCTAAAGTGCCCAGGGGAAGAATCAAGGCTATCCGGCTGTGGTGAAAGCTTTACTTGTACCTCTCTTCAAGGAACTGGACTTCTGCCTTAGGTCCCTGAGCATAAGCTTCTGCCCTGGTAACCTGCCATGTCACCCAGCACCTCTGGGCTAGAACCTCGCCTTGCATTTACTGATTTCTCGCCTTTAGAATAAAGGGCTGCATCTACACAAGCACAGGCCACAGGAGATATAAACTGTATGCAGACTTCTTCAGGGCCTGCCATTGCCTATCAGCTCAGTTATCCCAGTGTACGTAGTTCTCTAAAATCCCATATCCAAATAAGTTTGTCTTTGCTTGAAAATCTCCATTATCTGTTAAGTTGGCCCCTGGGTAGCACTTGGCTGGGGGAAATCTTGTTCAAGGAGAGGCTGAAGGGAGACACTCAGCTTGGAAGCAATTCACATGGTAAAGTTCTGGAAATTTTAATGGACCATAGTCTTAAGAGTGAGCTAACAAGATTTAGCTACTGAAGATACTTTAGTCTTTGGCTATATTGAAAGCAGTATAATGTGCAGCTTGTGGTTTTATGGCCCATTCTGCTGGTCAGATTATGTCTAGAGAGTTTACTTCTGGGCACTGGGTTTTACGAGATTGCACTGGTAAACTAGAGGACTTAACAGAAGAGGCCAGCCTGGATGGCAAGGAGTCTGTAGCTCATGTCCTATAAGGCAGGGGTCCCCAACCCCTGGGCTGCGGACCACTACCAGCCTGCGGCCTGTTAGGAACTGGGCCGCACAGCAGGAGGTGAGCAGCGGGCGAGCAAGCAAAGCTTCATCTGCCACTCCCCATCGCTCGCACTCCTGCCTGAACCATCCATCCATTCCCCCACCCCACCCTGTCCATGGAAAAATTGTCTTCCATGAAACCGGTCACTGGCACCAGAAAGGTTGGGGACCGCTGCTATAAGGAATGGGTGAAGAATAATGGTCTGGAAAAGAGAAGAATGGTGATAGTTTATTCTCTTGGGAAAAAAATATTGAGTTCCTCCTTTGTGCTGGAAATACGGCAGTAACCAAGTTAGAAATAACCCCTACTATCATTTATTTATTTATTTATTTACTTATTTATGGCTGCGTTGGGTCTTCATTGCTGTGCGTGGGCTTTCTCTAGTTGCCGTGAGCGGGGGATACTCTTTGTTGCAGTGCGTGGGCTTCTCATTGTGGTGGCTTCTCTTGTTGTGGAGCACGGGCTCTAGGCGCGTGGGCTTCAGTAGCTGTGGCTCGAAAACTCTAGAGCGCAGGCTCGGTAGTTGTGGCGCACGGGCTTAGTTGCTCCGAAGCATGTGGGATCTTCCCGGACCAGGGCCCGAACCCGTGTCTCCTGCATTGGCAGGCGGATTCTTAACCACTGTGCCACCAGGGAAGCCCAATCCCTACTATCTTAAAACTTACAGTTTGTTGGAAAAGACAAGTGAACAAGTCATTACAACCTTGGGAACAGATAACAGGCAGTTCTAAGCTAGCCTTCAAATATTTGAAAGAATGTCACTTTGAAGAAGAAATAAAGTTGTTCCAGAGAAACGACCTGAGACCTTGGTAGGTGACATTGGTTTAACTTAATGAGCTATCTGACAGCTAAAGTTATCCCCCTTGAGGCACTGAATTCCTCACCAGTAAAGGTGTCAAGCAGTGGCTGTCAAGAATGTTCCAAAAGGGAGTCTTATATCAGTGATGATTGTTAAAAGTTCACCCAGCTCTTTGCTCTGCTTTATGTATGTTATCTTGTTAAATTTTCACAGTACCTTAAAAACTAGTTATTCTTATTACCCAGTTTTACAGTTGAGGACACTGAGGCCCAGAGAAGTTAAGTAACTTGCCTGAGGTCAAGTAGATGGTAAACGGTGGAGCCAGAATTCAAAGCCAGGCAGTCAGGCCCCAGAGCCCATGCTCTTAACCGTTGTCCCATACTCTGCTACTTAAAAATAACAATGGCAGCTACCATTTGTTCATTGCTAACTTTTATCAGACACTGTGTCTCCCAGATGACCTCTAAGGGCCAAGAGCCAGTAACATAATCTAGATGTTATTTCATAGTCCTAAAATTGGCTTAGAAAAATCCTGGTGGAAATGTTGATCTAGTCTCGCTTTAGTTCTGCCTTGCTACAGGCAGGTGATTTTACTGCCTCAGATGACCCGTCCCCTATTAGTGAGGGAATCCGGGCTGGCGGCAGCTGCAGCTCAGGATGCCTGTCCAGCCTCATCTCTGGCTGTGATCAGCCTGCTCTTTCTTTGGAGCCTGACCAAGGATGTGTTCCAGTAACATGTTATTAAACCATACTCTCTTCCTTCCCCACCTTTCCCAGACCTCCCACTCCTGCTTGGTGTTCCAGCCTGTTCTGTGGCCAGAATACACGTTTTGGAACCTCTGTGAGGCCATCCTGCAGTTCCAGATGAACCATAGCATGCTTCAGGTAAGAGTTCAGGGCTGGCCTGACTGGATGGAATGGAAGAAAAGGTTAGCATTGATGACCACCCACGGCTATATATGTCAGGCACTTGCTAATAATCATGTTAATGATGAGTAGCTACCACTTACTGAGTATTTACTATGTGTCAGGCACTGTGAACAGTTTATATGCACTATCTCATTCAATGTTCCCAAGAACCCAATGAGCTAGGTATTATTAGCCCCATTTGTGCAAATGAGTAAATCAAAATTATTTAGCTAAGGACACATAACCAATAAAAGATGGAACTGGGATTCAAGTTATAAATCTTTAATCTCTTTACTATGGAAACCCAGGAAAGGCTTCTCAGAGAGACTGGCCATTATTCCCTGAAAGAATTGGCCTAATAAAAGATTGTAGAAGTGGAAGTATACAAAATCCAAGACGCTTCCAGAGGGATTAAAAATGAAATAGCACTGTCTTTGTATGAAACTGTGTTCTACCAAGACTTGAAGTTCTGCTTTCAGTTTTGATCACCAGATCTTGAAACAGGTTTCATTAGGAGGCAGAGTCACCTACGTCTGATTAGGACTCTTAATAATAATGGCAGTGTGTGTGGTGGTGGCAGCTAACGTATTGAGGGCCTATTAAGGCACTTTGGTGTTTTCATGTAAGTTTTCTTATTTAACCCTTCCAGCAATCCAGCAGGCTTGGCGTCCTTGTTTTTCAGATATGGCAACAGAGGGGCGGGGAAACTGTCCCAAGGTCACAGAATTTTAAACCCAAAGCTGGTGATGCTTCTTGAGTCTGGAGAGATAATGGCCAGGAGGAAATAATGATCTAAGTCAGGGCTTTTCGGTCCCCTTGGCATCGCAGACTCCTTGGAGAAGCTAACGAAAGCCGTAGACCATCTCCCTAGAAAAATTGCAAAGATCACTCTAACACATGGCATTTTGCATAGAACTACATTAATCCCTTTAACACATAAACTACTTCTGGGGGTTCACATAACTCCTGAAATCTTTCCATGAATCCCAAGTCCAGAACTCCTGGAATAAGTCAATCAAATCATGAAGGTTTGGTCATGTGCTTGATCACTTAGTCTCAGAATTTGAAAAAGGAAGTAAAGTTCAAGTAAAAGGAAAAACAGCAAAGTCTCAATTATCCACTGTCAAAGAGGAATGAATATCAGATTTTTCCACATGACCAAGTCTCCCTTTAAGAACTAAAACTTTTTTTAATCCTATTTTGATAGAAAACTTTCTGAAACAGGTCTTGTGCATAATTCATTAACACCTTCTGTGTACCAGGCACTTGCTAATAATGATGATTAGAATAATCACATTCTAATGGTGCTGAGAACGATAATATTGTTAGTAACTGCCCTCTTGAAGTACTTCACTGTGCAGGATGGCCTTGAAGGGTGGGACTCTTTCTCTAAGCTAGATTGTCCCAAAATACTTGGCTTTGGGATTTCTTGTATATGGTCAATGGCTAATTTTGACAGCATCCCTTCTTCCCTTCTCTTCCTATTTCCAGTTTTAAATCAGCTACAGGCAAGGAAACCAGGCAACCAAGCTTGTTAGAGTTATGTCTGTAAAGTGAGAGTAAACTGGCCTTGCATGAAGCCCAGAGGATCTTGGTGCACGAGCTTTTGTGTATGGATATTCTTGTCTCTAAGTTGGCTGCTGAGAAGTCTTTTAGTAATTTCAGGTTTCTCAGATACTTTCCCACATGGCTATCGGAGGAATTACCTCAAGTTTCACTCATTTCATAAATGTCTATTACTGAGTACCTGGTCTGAGTCAGGCACTATGTTAGTATTAGGCACAAGAGAGTCACGCAGTTAGTTGGCCAGACAAGATCCCTACCTTCGTGGAGCTTGTATTTTTACTTGAGGAGACAGATAATAAGTAAACAAGTATATACAATAATTTCAGATTGTAATAAGGCAATGAAGAAAATAGGGTGATATGCTAGAAAGTAATGAAGAGAGCAGGAGGTGCTGAATAAAGCAGTCAAGGAAGGCCTCTCTAAGGAGGTCTTTTTTAAGCCATTATATTAGAGATGAGAGATAGCCAGATGGGTAAAAATCCGGGGGGAAAGAATTATTCTCTGCAGAGGGAGCAGCAAGGGCAAGGATACTAAAGTTATAAAGTTTAGGTCTTGGAAGAACAAAGAGGACAGCACACATGAGGGAGAAGGATGTGGGATGAGGCTGGGTAGGAGTCAGGCCTCTGATCACTGAGGGCCTTGTAGGCCATGATGACACATCTGAAGACTTTTGATCAGGGGAGTGACAGGATCTGATTTATATTTTGTAAAAATCACTCAGGATTTTCAGAGGGCAGGAGTCAGAGACCAAACTCCTACAGTAGTCCAGGTGGGAGAATGTGCCTCAAGGTGGGGTTGCAGCTGTAGAGAAGGGGAGGGCTGAGTGGACTGAGATGGAGGAAAAACAAAAGTTAAAGCAGAAACAAATGAAACTAAGTTGATAATATAACCCCCAGAGAAAGGGATTAATTCCAGTTACCTGAACATAGTTCTCTGACTATACATTTTTAGTGGGATATATTCTAAGGATGATACAAACTGGAAAGCTAACTTAAACATTACTTAGGAGGTTTATTAGTGGTAATGTTGATGATGTAACTCTGAAACTCCTTTATTCATCTTGTAGGATAAAACAAATGAGTAAAATGTTAATGTTATTAGGAACCAAAACATTTAGGTTTTGGCCTGGGCAGCTGGGTAGATGGCTCTGCTGTTTCCTAGGATGGGGTGGAACGTGTTTGAGGACAGCCATTAAGAGTTTCATTTGGTACCTAAGAATCATAATTTCAAACATTTATTGAGTTCTTACATGTCAGGCATCCTTTTACTTATATTCTATGTAGTTCTGTAAGGTAGTTACTATTATTAATTGCCCCCATTTTTAGAGTGAGGAAACCAAAGTAATAACAGAGATACTGACTGCCCTGAACCTTTTCTCAGCAGACCTCATAGAAGTTTTGGCCAGGTTTCCTCTACCCAGGAGCCCTCAAACTCTGTTTCTAGAAATCTTAGCACCTCAGCAGAAGCACTAAGCGTACAATCCAGACTGACAACATCCTGGCCAGTTTGGCCTCAGACCAGAGAGCTGATCTTTCTAATATCTCCCTTGTATGTATCCTGTATCATCACCAAACTGGACTCTTCACAGTTCCTTGTTCCCATACCCTTTGGTATTCTGCCTCCACATCTGTGTTCTTGACCCATCTCCCAAATTCCCATTGTTAAATTCTGAGCTGCTCTGTCTCTAAGCCCAGCCCAGTATGTCCCCATTCCCTGCAGGAAGCCAGGGCAGGGAGTTGGGTTCTTGATCTATAGTAGCTCACTGGGATGAGGGCAGCTGATGGATGCTAATGGAAACAGGGACTCAGCTACAAATTGTTGGAGGCTAGACCTTGGTATCTGAAGGGACCATGGCAGTTTCCAGGTGGTCACCCATCAGTCTTAGAGAATGGGGGCTGGCACATGGAAGAAATCTCAACTATGACACAGTAGGACAGATAGAAAATTAGGGCAAGGAAGGGGTGGGCAGCAGTACAGAGCCACTGATCCTCAGTTACAAGCTGCATGGATGGTAGGTCCATGGGGGGATCTTTGACAGAGATGAGGAATAAGTGTTCGGTCCACTTAATCTGTAATGATATAGAGGGGGAATATACATATTCCCACTAAACTTCCTTCAATGCATTTGTCAGAGGTTAAACGCCAGGGTGGAACAATCAGCCATTTTATGTCTAGTGTTCTTCAGGTAGTCACTATCTTCTCAAGAGAAGTTAAAAACTTCAGCTCTTGTCTCAGACATTCCTGACTTTGAGTCATGGCACAGCCTTCTAGCTGTGTGACTGGCTGGGCAATTACTTAACCCAAGGCAGAGAATCATTTTTCTCATCTGTAAAATGAGGGGAGTAATGATAATAATAATACCTGCCTCACAGGTTTGTGATAAGTCTTCAGTAAGCTAATACACTAAAAGCGCTGGAACAGAGTTCATTTTCAGAGACTGGTGGCCAATATCGTTCACAATGTATGTCTCTGGGCTCTTCAGACTTCATCTGTCTCCAGAAAAACCACAGACACTTAGCATCCCGCTCATCCCATCACCAGTACAGTTCCCTTAGCAGGGAGACTCTGGGTGCTCATCAAAACATCATGTTTCCAGCAAGAGGTACTGTCTCTTAACAACCCTCAGAAAGGCACCCCCCCATGCTACTGACCTGGGCATATTGATTGTGGCAAATGGGGACTTTTGGGAAGACTTGTCATTAGCTAATGAATGTTTTGAAACCCAAGACCTGCATCCTCTCCATGCCCCAGTGAGGTCAGAGGACTTGAGGGTTTATATACTGGAGGGGCTATTACGTCTTGTTCCCTAATTCTGCTGAGGAGAGAACAAGAGCAGAGAGGCTTAATGCCCAGGAGAGATTTATATTAATAGGTTAGGGCGCCATTTCTCAAAAGGAGCTCCTTGGACCCCTTACACCAAGACCATATAAGGTCTGCATAAGAAGTGTCTAAGGTAATTATTAACGCCCTCTCCCCTGATTGGTCATTATACAGGGAGAGTAGACAGTATGGTCAGGAAGAGAGAAATTGACTATTAGGACTTCCATTAGCCTAGATTTTTAGAGGCTGAGTACCTGAGAAGAACTTACAACACCTTTGAGATAGGGAGGTAGATCTAGACCATGTGGAGGTTGCACAGAGGTGCCCAGATGCAGGCCACTGGTTCCCCACTCCACCCCTAGAAAGTACAGCTTATCCAGAGGCATGAAACACATTTCCCAAAGATCTTTCAAGAAGTTATCTTAGGGCTTCCCTGGTGGCACAGTGGTTGAGAGTCTGCCTGCCAATGCAGGGGACGTGGGTTCGTGCCCCGGTCCGGGAAGATCCCACATGCCGCGGAGCGGCTGGGCCCGTGAGCCATGGCCGCTGAGCCTGTGCGTCCGGAGCCTGTGCTCCACAATGGGAGAGGCCACAGTAGTGAGAGGCCCGCGTACCGCAAAAAAAAAAAGTTAGTGGAGAAACCAAGGGAACTTCAACCCACTGTGACCTAGGCCAAGCCCCTCCCCACCTCAGCCTTGGTGTCCTTGTCTGTACAATGAGAAGGCTAGAGCTGATGGTCTTTACGAGCTCCCCTGACTCTGTCATCCTAACAGTGAATCGCTGATTCCTGGCAAATTAGGGGCCAGGGTCTGCTTGGCTGCAGCCTCCCTGCTCAGCACTCAGTCTAGGGCTGCCATTTGGAAAAAGCCTGAGCCGCATGGAGCAATTTTAACCAGCTCCGCATTTCCTCCTCCTGTGGCTTGGTGCCTTCATCCTTCCTGTTCAGCCAGGACTTAGCCTACTTAGCCCTAGCCACAAGCAGTGGTGACAGAAGAAGGGCTAACTGTTAATAGCCAGGCACCAGATTGGGCATTCATTATCTCATTTTTCCTCAAACCACCCAGTGATATGGACACTATTGTCCCCATTTTGCAGATGAAGAAATAGGCTTGGAGAGGTGAGGGAGTCCTCTGGACAGAAACTTCTCAAACCCCAGTATTCCAGGCAGACTCACACTGGCCTGATCACGCTCTTTGATTTCCTGAGTGATGTATAGTAGCCCATTATTCCCCTGCTGATATTCTCCTCCCCCCATACACTTTACCTTTATCTGAATCTTCCCCATTGGTTAAAGCTCAGCTCAGATTCTGCCTGACCATGAGATTTCACTGCCCCCTTGACCTTCATCAACCACAGTTTCTTTCCTCTGAACTGCATGGCCCTTTCTCTTACCTCCATGATGATCCTTACCACATTCCACCTTGTGTTATGGTATTTGGGTACATCTCTGTGTCCTCAGCCTGTAAGCACATGGATCGTGGTGACTACGTCCTGTGCATTTCCGTACCCCCAATAAAGTCTTGTATGTAGGACCCAGGGTTCCTCCTGACTAAGGCCAGGAGGAAGCCCTTCTAACAAGATGAAGACCCTTACATCAACTTTTTAAGCTTGTTTTAGTCTTCATACCTCCACATGGGGGTTCGTTATCATAGCAGAAGAGTACCCTTGAATGCCTTGGATCATTCAACAGCCTGGAGGGGGGATTTTCCAGATTTTTCATTTGTCATCTTTATTCATGCAGTAAGTCTTTATTGCTGAGAGACCCTAGCAAATCACTTCCCTACTCTGAACCTCCATGTCTGTCTCCAGCACCTCCGTAGCTCTTTTGGGAGGGTCAAGTGAGACAACAGATGAAGTGCTTGTGTACATGTAAGATATTCCTTAAAGGATTAAAACAAAGCAATCCAGGTGTTCACGGGCTGAGTAGGACACAGACAGGTACCCAGATACCACAGTACAAGGTAGAATGTGGTAAGGGTCACAAAGGGTATAGGATACCAAATCGGCAGCAAAATGGGAGTTTCTCACACATGGAATAGGTTTGGCAGGAGGGACTCTGGTGCTAAGGTTCTGCAGCCTGTTAGAGTGGCAGGAGCAGAGAGCATCAGTGAGGCACAGCAAGGCCTTGGTTCTGCTCCGAAAGGGTTTTCCCCTTCTGTGCCAGGAGCATCCGCCTTGTCCTCCTGGGATCATACAGTCAGTGTACTGAGCATTTCACATGTACAGGGTGCCCCAAGTGCCAGAAAGGAAAAGCCACAGTCTCTGTCCTCTAGGACTTTAGGGTTTGTCTGAAGACACACACAGGGTATGAGAAGTGCTGCCAAGGAATATAATCACTTACCTGGTGTCAGAACTGGTTCCAGGAGCCTGAGGGCTCCACTGAGCCTTCAAGGGTTCATTTTTCTAACAGAAAATGTGGACTGTGGACACTAATGCCTATTCTAGAGGCAGGATGAAGTAAGTGGCTTAAGAAAGCTGAACCTGCTTCTCATAATGTTCACAGGAGGGTCATTTGCTGGGCGAGTCAGCCTGGTCTCCATGTGAGAGGCAGTTCTGGATCCAGACTCTGAAAGATAACTTTAGGCAGTTGGGAGGATGGCACTCTTAGAGTGACCTGGGAAACCAAAGAAATGACCCACTGCATATGCCCCAGGCAGGAATAGAACCTTCCTTGCATCAGAGTGATAACTTGTAAAATTGCTGTTTCTGTTTGAGAGCCTGCTAATATGCTGGAGGGGTTTTGCATATATTATCTCTAATCCTTAAAACCACTCTTCAAGGTAGGCACAACCCCCGCTTTACAGATGAAGAAGTGAGGTTAGGAGAGGATTTGCCCAAAGCCACAAAGCTAGGTGGTGGGGGAACCAGAAGTCATACCCACATTTGCCTTGTTCCCTTCCAAGTGCAAACCTGAGAAGAATTTCAAGAAATATAGAAACTCCCACCCAAAACAAACCAAGATGGATCCAGAACTGCCACTGCCCTGCCTATACAACATGGGCACCACCCATTGCACACCTACTCCCAAACCTTTCCAGATCTGCTACAGACTTCCCACTGTTCCACTTAACTTGGCCCGTCCTGTGCCCCACCCTTACCTCCTCCATCCCAATTCCACCCACGCCTAAAAATGATCTCCCCACCCCAATCCCCACTTTTCTCTAGCAGAAGGCCCGAGACATGTATGCAGAGGATCGGAAGAGGCAGCAGCTGGAGAGGGACCAGGCTGCAGTGACAGAACAGCTGCTGCAAGAGGGGCTCCAGGCCAGTGGGGACGCCCAGCTCCGACGGACACGCTTGCACAAACTCTCAGCCAGACGAGAAGAGCGGGTCCAAGGCTTCCTGCAGGCCTTAGAACTCAAGCGGGCTGACTGGCTGGCACGTCTGGGCACTGCATCAGCCTGAGTGAGGCTGGCCTCCTGCCACTTTGCCCTGCCCTCTGCCTCCAGGGCCCCACTCCCCTTTCTTTTCTTGGTGAAAGGTACCTCCCTCCTGATGATGAATTGTGTTTCCTTTGCTTGGCAAGGGAGCCCCAGAGGCCAGGTTTGCTGGCCATAGACATCTTTGGGCTGCCTGGGACAGGAGGGTTGAGGGTGAGAGTCTCTCACAAGTACACTAAACCCAAACTCTGATCCAGGTCAAACTCTGATCACGAATAGGTTCAGAGAGCAGAGGGCCCCAGCTCTTCCATCTTTGCCACCTCTACCTGTACTCCTAGGTGCACTTTCTTTTTCCACCAGCACATCCTTCAACACAAAGAATTTCGGGGAAGAGTTCTCCCCAAAACCTTAGCCCTTTACCCATCCATCTTAGTCTTCACAAAAGATGTGGACCCACCTTGGATCTGCTGGTAAATAGCTAATAGGCAGCCAGCGTTATTTAGGCAAGGAAGGGGAGGGAGAGACAGAAAGAAAAGTTGCCCATCTGCTGCTCCTCCCCCTTGGCTCTCCACCTGGGATTTGCTATTGAATCTCTACCCCCTCCCACCACACAGTGCTGACTGTTCACTGAAAGCAGCGCCCCCAATGGTGCGCGGAAGCCAGGCGGGTGATTACAATCCAATTACCTATTGTCGACTCAGCCCACACAAGCTTTTCTCCTCTTGCAGGGCATGGGGCCAGGCTCCACTCCCCATTGAGACCGGTCCCCTCCATGGCTACAGGGTAACAGAAGACCTATAGGCCCTGGTGAATCTAATCCAGCACAGGCCACCTTCCCTGGATGACATCAGGACCAAGAGCACAGAAACAAGCACTTCTCCCAACTGACTGCCTCCTGCCCTCAGCATCTCGGACTCTGCTTCCCACCTCAACAGCCTTTGAGGCTTTTCTCAGCTTTTGACCTGTCCCCCTAAGTAGACGGTGAGATGATTTATTCCCAGCATGGCAGAGTCTCAGCTTGTGAGGGCCAAGGTTGCCCAGCAGGGAGAAGAGGGCCGAGTCAAGGGCCGTGTCCTTTTCCTTACCTCTCCCTGCCAGGCCTCGCTGCAGAGCTGCTGAGAGGATTAGTGCCTTTGAAGAGTTGTCTGAGCAGCTCTGTGCTTCAGGTGCCCCAGAGCAGCAAGCACCAGCGGGTAATACCAACCAAAGGCTACTCTGTTTAGTCTTCCCGTTTTACTTTCTGCAAACTGTTTCCCAGCACCTCCCTCTAGGGGAGAGGTAGGATCTTGCAAGCAGTGCTAAGAGCATATTCTTTAAAACCGATAACTTCCCTATAGTCCAGTCTCCTCCCTTTTCTGTGCCTGGATACCTGGCACAAGAGACCCTTTGGGCATCTTCCCTGCTCCCAGAATCAAACATAAATGCCCGGCACTGCGATTGAGAAGCCAATCAATGCACCCTTTGGCAAGTCCCCCCTCACACACCTGGCACTCCCCACTACCAATCCCTGGCACGGGGTTCCCAGAGAGCAGGTGCTGTACATTTTCCAGCTTTACAAGGGGGCTGTTGACAGCCTTAATTAGGGAGGCATGAATTATGCGGCTATAATGCAGAGCCCTACAATTAAGGCGGGAATGAGGGGCTGGAGGCAGCAAATGGAATCTGCCCTGTGAGCATGGTTGTTGAGTCCTGTCTCCTTTCTGGGTCTGACTTTCCCTACTATGATTGGGGTACAGCAGAGGTGATTAATGGGGCTGGTATCTTTGGCCTGAGGTCCTGTATTCTGGGAAAGGTACACAGTGGGGAGGGGTGAGGAGTGGCTGCCTGTAAGGGGTGGAAAGGAGAAGAGGCGGAGGGATCGCTGCTGCTCAGGAACAGGGGCTGCAAATAGTTGATATGAACTCACAGTGATTGCTTTCTACCGGTGTGATTTGTACAAACCAGCTCAACCCTTGCCTCAGGAAATTAGGTGAGACCTATTTAAATGTCCTCCCACCTGTGAGCCAACCCCCCCCCCAGTTGAGGATATTTATCGTGTTGCGTTCTCTCGGGTGTCAAATAGAATTTTTTAAATTCTTAGATGTAAAACTTGTTTGCGAACAGTGCAACAGAAGATCATGTTTTGCTGCAGCACTTGGCTACCTCCCTCAGGTGCACTTGGCTACCTCTAGGATCCCTAGCTTTGGGGACGGGGTGGGAGAGCCACTGGAAGAGCCCTTTTTCCATCGCAACCCCTGTAACTCTACTTGTTTCCTAATGCCCGGACGCTTTCCTCCACCCTCCTTTTCCCTCGCGCAAGTGAAAGGAAGCCAGCCAGCCTGCCAGTGTGGAAGGAGGGATTTCGCCAGCTGCGTGTGCAGCGCCCAGGGTTAGTGGCTGCATCGGGTGGGGGCAGCTGAGCTTCATGTCTCCGTAGCGGGTAAAGGTTAGAGGGAGGGGAGTGCTAGTAGGCCTTCTTGGCGGCCACTCTCCGTCATTCGGTGGCGGGGTTCTGAGGTCCAGGAATACAAGGACCTAGGAGAGCCATCCACCCGACAGGCTTTGGGGGGGCTTCGTTGGTGTTTGGGGAGGCGGCTGAGCAACGGGTGCTGAAAGGACAGCTCCTACCTGCCCCACTGCACCCGAAAGGCACCTCTGCGTGTAAAGTCTCCCCCTGGAACCCCCACCCCACCTCGAGTGGACCGCCTTCCAGGTGAGGTGCCCGAGAGGCGTCCTCCGAGTGGCAGCCTGGAAGGATGCACGTCCGGCTGCGCCGAGCTGGCTTCCCCGCTCTTTCCCCACTTCAGCGTCAGCCTTGGCCCTGGGAACTGCAGCCTGTGCCTCCAAGCCGCGCGCTTCCTCCCGCCTCCGGCGGAGAAGGGCAGTGCGGCCAGGCCTAGCAAACCCTTCTTCTGGGGCCCCCAGCGGGAACAGGAAGGAAAGCGGCTGAGATGCGCCCTAAGTGTCGCATGGCTTGGAGAAGTGGGTAGCTCGGTTGCATAAGGTGGAAGGAACTTGGTAGTTTGGAAAAGCCAGCTCTTGGCGGGAGCCGAAACCCAGAGCCCGCCGAGTCGCACCACCCTCCCTCATTTATTGCCCTCGACGCGCGCCTCCCCCACTGCGCCCCCACCCCCAGGCGCGCCGCCGTCTCGCGCGCCCTCCCCCCCATACCCCCCTCCTCACTCCCTCCAGAGGAGGTGAGTTTAAACCCCGCCCACGTGACCCCAGCTGGGCCAATGAACGGCGGCGGGAGGTGAAATCCGGTTCTAACCGGTCCGGGGCTCCCAGCGCTATAAAAACTTTATAAACCCCCCGGAGCCCGAGCAGTGTGAAGAAGAGGCGAGAGCGACCCTTGGACTGGCCAAAGCCGCGCGCCACTGCCTCCCCGTGTCCAGCGCATACGTCCCGCCGCCGTCGCCACCATGCCCAAGAGAAAGGTACGTGGCGCGAGGGCCCCAGGCGCTGGGCCGCCGCCGCCGCCACCACCGCCACCACCACCACCAATGCAGCAGCCGCCGCCGCTTCCCCGGCTTTGGGAAGCGCGAATCAGCGGCGAGCTGGAGCAGACTCAGCCCCCAGGCGCGTTAGCTCGAGGCGGTGTCAGGCCGCCCCGGGCTAACCCTGCGCGGCTTGGCTGCCCGCGGGCGCCAGAGGCCATATTGGAGGAGCGGCGGCCGCGGCGGGAGGAGCCATGTTGGCGGCTGTTTATCCCGCTCCCCTTGGGCTCGACGTGCCCGCCCCGCGCCCCCTCCCCCCATCGCTACCCCCCCCCCCTCCTTCCCCGCGGGCGGGCAATTCAAACCCGAAAGGGCGGGAAGGCGGCATTCGGGGTTGGCGGGCGGGGGAACGCGCTGCCGCCAAAAAACCGCCGCCGTGAGGGGGCGGGGCCTTCTTTCCTGGGGGCGGGACTTCGCAGTGTGGCCCCACCTCCACCGCGCGCCGCCCACGGCCCCCGCGCACGAGACTCGCCCCGGTGCGCGCCGCTGCCGCCCACGAGTTCCCCCGGCTGCCTGCTCCTCCCGTCTCCCTCCCTCGACGGCTGCCATGGCAACGGCGCTCAGGCCCCGCCTCCGTAGGGGTTTGTTTGCTCCTTGTACAGCTGTTGCTTCTGCCTGGCGCAGCGGCGCGGGCTGCGCTTCGCGCGCCTCGCTCCAGCTTTGCGCGCGCTTCGCGGGGCCCCGCCGTCCCTGCGCGTTATGAGCCAGACCGGGTGTGAGGCTGACACATAACAGCGTTCCTAGCGCTTTCTGAGCACTTCGGGGATTTGCATAGGAGCTGGGGATGCTACAAACTGAGGATTTGTATGCCTTAGGAAAGTTGTGTGCAAGATTCCCTTCGATTTTTTTTCTTCCCCCTTTAGGACTTCGTTAAGTTTACTGAATCATTAAGAACTGCTTCAGAAGCTGCAACTTTCTTAGCTTTTACTTGTTTTTTATAGGCTGAAGGGGATGCTAAAGGAGATAAAACCAAGGTGAAGGATGAAGTAAGTCTTATTCTCACTGCTTTTGGAGTCTCACAAAGCCTTGGGTTCCTTTAGTGGTAATTAACCATATTCATAGTCCTGAATTTGCCTCAGTAAGCTCTCTTTACTTCTTATAGTCTAGAACAATTCAGCTGCAAAACTTTTTTGTATTTAAGTGGTTCAACTGTCCTATTTGTAATTTTCTTTATTTTTTTTAAATAGCCACAGAGAAGATCTGCAAGGTTATCTGCTGTAAGTGTGTCTGCTTTTAAATTTTCATATTATTCTCTGAAACTAAAAAGCATTGAAAAACGGTTCCCTTTGCTTCCCATGAATTACGGTCAGTGGCTGGTATTGAATGACTTACTCTGCTATGGACTCTTGCCCATTTGGAATTTGCTCGTTCTGAAATTGTGATGGCTGTAGCCAAAGTGGGACACTTCCGAGTGTTACTTGAGTGGGTTTCTGAAGATATGAAGTTCTAATGGAAAGCCCGCCACAAACTTTACAAAGTAGGAGAAACTTCTATGACAGTGGTGCTGTGGTTTGGTTGTGGGTTGTTTTCTTTGGTCCATTGTCCTAATGTTCTCTGCTTCGCTTTTCTCCCCCAAATAAAAGAAACCTGTTCCTCCAAAGCCAGAGCCCAAGCCTAAAAAGGCCCCTGCAAAGGTGAGTAGGACGGTGAGACAAACATGCATCTAGGATTTACATAAAAGCCTGAACAGTTTCCCATGTTGCTGACAGGGAGACCTGCTATATAACAACTTTATCTGTTGGCACAGAGTTGAGATTTGACAGAGTTAATAGGACTGGTCCTTAACCAAGAACTCTGTCTTCAATTTACAAAAAACTGTACACTTGGGTATTAAGTGCAAATGTTTAAGCTGTCTTATTCTATTATTTACATTCAGATAAAGAATTCCGTGTATTGAAGACCACAGTTTGGCCTTGTTTTTATGAATGGGGGAGGGTATGTAGTTTATGTGTGTATCTTATATTTGATCAACAGCCCTACTTTGTGCAGAGCTTTGTAGACTTGTATCCCGGTGATAGAAATGAGGAGAAACAGCTTTTTTCCCCCCATCCCCCCATTTTAGAAGGGAGAGAAGGTACCCAAAGGGAAAAAGGGGAAAGCTGATGCTGGCAAGGATGGGAATAATCCTGCAGAAAATGGAGATGCCAAAACAGACCAGGTACAACTATTTTCACTTTATGTTAAGTCTGCCCATTCAATCAGTTAATGATCCCAAAAGCTTTTATGGCCTTTTTCTTAACATCTGTGTCACTCCAAGTGTGCCTTTTAGTCTGGAGTTTGCTTGTGGTTTTTTTCTGTGAGTTTCATCTGGATTCTTGAAGGCTCTGCCGTCCAGTAAAGAGAGCTGTGGTATGAGCCTTGTCCTGTCGTTAGGTGTTGCGCTCATGCTACACCATGGTTTTCAAGTTGGAAGTAACCTCAGATCTTGTAATACTGGTGTGCCCCCTTCCCCAGTTTTACAGTAAGGTCCAGAGGGGAAGTGACTTAGCAAAGTTACCTGCCAAGTCATTTTCAAAAGAAGTACTGAGTCTCAGTGTCAAAGTACCTAAAACCTGAACTTTGGCCTGGGAGCAAAGAAATGCTATAAATGAAATATGAATGAAGATAGTTTCCACATCTACATACTGTATTCATCTGTCTGTTTTTCCTTTAGGCACAGAAAGCTGAAGGTGCTGGAGATGCCAAGTGAAGTGTGCATTTTTGATAACTGTGTACTTCTGGTGACTGTACAGTTTGAAATACTATTTTTTATCAAGTTTTATAAAAATGCAGAATTTTGTTTTACTTTTTTTTTTTTAAGCTATGTTGTTAGCATACAGAACACTTCATTGTTGTTTTTTGGGGGAAGAGCACATGTCACTAATAGATTGTCTCTGAAGCTGGATTGACATGGGAGAAAAACACCTTTCCCATCTGGTTTTGAGAGACTTCCTCTTGGTTCCCAGGAAGGAGGGGTTCCTTGATACTGACACACAGTAGCCACCTTGGCACAAATGCCTTGTGGTGTGGAAACTAAAGTTAGTTTTTATGTCCTCTTCTCCCTCTCCACCTTCAGCATAGACTTGACTCCCTTAAACCCAGAGACCTGTTGGAACCTGACCCCCAAAAATTGGTTACCAGTATGTCAGGCAATCTGGACTTTGCATTGTCACCATTGAGATGGTGTCCCTCAAAAGAGCAGCGGTTCCTTTTTTAGATTGTGGATCTTCAGATTGATACTTTTGCCATTTTCATTTCCTGAAAGTCAGGGTCGGCTTGTGAAAAGTTGTTAAACAACATACTAAATGTGAAATGTCAACCCTCACTCTAAACTTTCCCTGTTCAGAGCATCACATGAAGACTTCATGGGGTTTTATAGTGGCTTTCTGATTTTGGTAGTCCATTGCAAAAGGGAGTTTGAAAGTTGTATACTGTTAACGATTGTCTGCCCATGTCCTGCCTGAAATACCATGATTGTTTATGAAAAGTATCTTTAATAAAGCTGGATACAGTTTGACTTGGAATGCTGCCTCTAATCTTTTCCCAGGAGTGGGGGAGCCTGGTTTCTCCAAGTCTCTTGGGACAGGATGCATTCTGGTGTGAGGTGTAGAGGTTCCATGTACAGTCAGTCTTTGTGGTCCATCTGTAGAACACAGTGCTGCGTGGACTTGGGAAAGATCCCAGGAGTAGACAGGTGGTGAGAGGCTGGGAGCAGAGAAGTGGTTTCTGTACTTGGTTATGTAGCACTACCTGAAGTGTATTTTTAAATGCAGGTGTTTGGTAGATCTGAGGTTTGGGCCTGGCAGCTGATAGTACAGGAGCCTTTCCACTTCACTCACATTTAAGATCTCTATAAAATTAGCAAGTTAATAGATAACGGCTGTATAGTCCTTGTGCGAGAAGAAAATGCCTGTGTGTCTACACGGTTGGCCATAAGATGTGTAAGGCAGATGGCACCCTGCTGTTGAGCAGACCTGCAAATCTTCTGTGAATTGATTAAATTCTTGTCCTTGTTGGTAAACTGCTCTAGCTCCAAAAGCAAAGACATTAATGGGGACTTTGCTGATTGCCTTATCCTGGAGACCCTGCAGAGAACCCCTTTCCTCTAGGGAAATAGCAAGAAGTTATGTTAGGAAATAGAACTTGTAATAAATTGATGCTTGCAATTTGAATTTGCTTTCATGGGTCACCTGTTGTTTGAGAGGAATAAAGTAAATTGGAGGCTATTTAAAAAAAAAATCTTACATTGCTTTGTTTATCCCTTTAGTCAAAACGGTAGAGCTCTCATATCAGTTAAGCTCTTCATTGATAAGTTTTCTGTGTATTATCTGCAATCTTCAGTTTTGAGATAGTTGTGTAATGCAAGTGTTTAACACCCTTTTTACTGATGAGGAAACGGCTCACATGAAGAGACTTGTTCAAGGTTATGTGTACATCTAAAGAGAAGCGGTTATGAGTACATCTAATGAGCAGCAGAGTCCTGGTTCAAACCCCCAACTTTAGTCACAAATAGTTTCTGAGTTCGACTTTTAAGGGGCGCCTTTTGGATAAAGTAACGTTTGCCCACTTGGGCAATTTCCAGGCATTTGCTTCCATTATTGCTGAAATAGTTCTAGGATGTAGGTTGTTAATTTTTATTCGGGGATGGTGT